GGCGGGGGTGTTCCTACAGTAGATGTTTTTGTTTGTAGTAGTTGGAGTCGGGTTTTAGTTTAATTGATTTCTCGTTTGACATTTAGTTTGACCTCGTGTAGTATATGTGTGAGTAATTAATTACAAAAATTCAAACACCCTCGCCGCAGCAAACGTGCAGACTAAGCAAATTTCCAGTGGATGGATTTTTTATTACATTTTTCCCTGAAATTTTAAGTTTTATTTTTAATAGCATTAATTTTGATGAGTGCTTAGATTTGCTGCTGCAGGGGAGGTAATAAAGTGTGATTTTATCGAATCAAGGTATTAATACCGTAGGTGACATCAGATTGAATGTTTTAAATCTCCTTTGGTAGAATAGTCTTAATGGCTTCGGTAACCATCTCTGTTTTATTCTTTAGCGGATCAGCATAAGCTTAATAGAATTTCCCATATAGGGAATAAGCTATTGATATTACCTTAGGTCTCATGGTAAGACTTAAACCCGGGACCAATTTACTTCTTCGTTTTGATGTAGGCCTGCCCAGAGGTCAAAAACACTATTTAAATTCATATATGCAAAATCCATTACATTTAAATTTAATTAAATGCCCATGCATTTTTTTTATCTATTCAACATACAGGTTTACACTGAATTGACTTGTGTATGAATGACTGCGTGTCTTGTAGTGGAGATGGACCGCTACTCCTTCATTCATATTCTCCATTGTTGGTAACATTGCCCCCCCCCCTCTCCCTCATCAGCTGTTTGAGAGCATAAACACTAGAGGAACAATAGCTCTTTGTTTTATCTTAATCACGCCGTTATTAAATTCTCTTTCTCCGACCAATTGGTTTAATTGAACAATGTGAACTTGTGATTCCATTACGTTGAAGTATGAGTGTATTATTGGTTTGATATAATGAGGTAATTTAAATTGAATAATTGGGAAAGGATTTTTTCATAACCTTAATTGATTCAATTCTTTGTGGTCTTTTAATTATTTTGCCACTACTTTGGGATGTTGATATTTGGTTTCGTACTTTTCAATAAGTATAGAATAAGAGAAGTTATTAAGCATTTGCATAAACCCTTTACACAGGCTGGTATGATTTTTGTTTGAAAATAAATTAGGCTACTCACTTCGGTCTCTTTGTGCTAAAAACATTCCATAATTGAATATAACCTTTTCGACTTTAGTAAAGTCGTATTCTCGCTAAGTGTTATTCTCGTAAATTCGGTTTTGTCCATCCTGATTAATCTGTTTTAACTGTACATAACTAGCCGAATGTATATCATGTATCAATGTAATATCATTTCTAATATTAAGCACAAAAATTGTTATTATCAATTTAAGTCATCCTGAGTTTATTGTTTTGTTTTGTATGCTGTAAAATGGAGATGTCCGTTGAAATAAATAAATAAATAAATAAATAAATAAATAAATGTGACTTATTCAAACTGAGATATATGCAACAATTATCAATAATTTTGAGATGGGCGTATAGGTGTGTGTTTTAACCCAAATATGAGTGAATGATGAGTGTAGAATGGAGTTAGGTGGTGTGTGTAGCTTTGCTTTTAAGATCAGCTGTTTCATTTCAAGGCCAATGACCAGGAACAGCTGGGTCCCAGTTTCGAACCATCAACAAGCTACTGACTTCTCAGGACTGAACCGGAGACCTGACTATCGAACACTCTATTCCGATACCCAGCCATTGTTCCTTTTACTTGAGATCCCGCTAGAGCTATTTTCATCGTTACTAGACTCATTTTGTCTTACTTAGATGATGATTATCCTCATAATTACTACGTTAGTGTAATTTACAGCTCATGATAATTTAATTGGTGAACACATCAAATAGATTAGGCTTGTATTAATCATGCTGGTTAATTCATAATCATAATTAAGTTGTATGATTATGTAACAATGGACAATGTCTACGTAACCATGCTGCAATCACTCATACATTGTGTTGGTGCTTGAATTACGGGTGTAGTTAAGCAATAAACGGTACATTATCAGCAAACTGTAATTCTTTCTCCTATACCTTGTCAACAATCCTAATCACACGCGATGGGAAAACTACGATATTTCTTGGAAAAACTTAAAAACACTGCAATAACTTTATAACCTTAGTTTTACTGCATTTGAGTGGTTGAACTATTTTGTTTGAGGTAAAAGGACCGTAACATACTAAATAATTGTTGCTACATTCACACCTATTCATAAAACGGATAAAAATTAATTCATCACATGTATCAGCAGGAATTGCAACAAAACCAAGTTTCATTTTATCACAGTATAGATCGTCATTTAAAAACACATCTTTCACATGATGTAAGTGAGTTTTTTGGAAATCCCAACACAAAAACATATTTGATACTATAATTTTGGAGATTTCTTAGTTTTTCTTTTAAAGCTATAGAATACAATACTACTGTACAAAAGACCTACCTTACCTTACATTTTAACCGCAATTAATAAGTATGAGTTGTATAATAGCTCTATATTATTTCCTTGTTTTTCGTTCACTTTTTCCCCGTCTACGACGCACGTTTTCCTCGAAGTTTATATCATTTGCCATTCTTATCAGCATCATTGTTTGTTCACTTACGTAGTCGCTTATCGCTGCGATCAGTGACGTCGTAGCTGTTATCACGTAACAGGTATCTCCGTGGAACATTATTGTTTTGTACTGTGACGCCGGTGGACTTGCGTTGAGCTACTTAGTTGTTAGTCGCGATCAGTGACGTTGCAACTGTTATCACCGTAACAGGTATCTCTGTGGATCACTATTGTTTTTTACTGTGACGCCCGGTGGACTTGCGTTGAGCTACTCAGTTGTTAGTCGCGATCAGTGACGTCGCAACTGTTATCACCGTAACAGGTATCTCCGTGGATCATTATTGTTCTGTACTGTGACGCCGGTAGACTTGCGTTGAGCTACTTAGTTGTTAGTCGCGATCAGTGACGTCGCAACTGTTATCACCGTAACAGGTATCTCCGTGGATCATTATTGTTCTGTACTGTGACGCCGGTGGACTTGCGTTGAGCTACTTAGTTGTTAGTCGCGATCAGTGACGTCGCAACTGTTATCACCGTAACAGGTATCTCCGTGGAACATTATTGTTCTGTACTGTGACGCCGGTGGACTTGCGTTGAGCTACTTAGTTGTTAGTCGCGATCAGTGACGTCGCAACTGTTATCACCGTAACAGGTATCTCCGTGGAACATTATTGTTCTGTACTGTGACGCCGGTGGACTTGCGTTGAGCTACTTAGTTGATAGTCGCGATCAGTGACGTCGTAACTATTATCACGTAACAGGTATCTCCGTGGAACATTATTGTTTTGTACTGTGACGCCGGTGGACTTGCGTTGAGATACAGTACTTAGTTGTTAGTCGCGATCAGTGACGTTGCGACTGTTACCACCGTAACAGGTATCTCCGTGGAACATTATTGTTTTATACTGTGACGCCGGTGGACTTGCGTTGAGATACTTAGTTGTTAGTCGCGATCAGTGACGTCGCAACTGTTATCACCGTAACAGGTATCTCCGTAGAACATTATTGTTTTGTACTGTGACGCCGGTGGACTTGCCTAACAGTTTGTGCTACTTTGTAAAGCGATGGACAGGTATAACGATTATTTTGTGAGTAGTTTGTTTTAATTTCACTCTGTAAATTATTGTGTTTATAGAGTTTGAGTGTTTTTTGGGCATCCACTTTTGGATATATTTAGCATGTCGAAAATCTAGAGGTTCTTCAAAAAATATGTAATAACATCTTAGCAAAATATTTTTTCTTTTGCATCCATACTTAGTGATAGTTTGGATGGAAAATCTAAAAATATACGAACACACTCTTAACCTTTCGCCAATTATGATGGAGGTTTGGTCGAGTTAGGCAAGGTGAAGTTTGAGTTAGGTTAGGTTAAATTAGGTTATGTAATGTTAGGTATGGTTATGTTCAGGTTAGGTCATGATAAGTTAGGTTAGTTCCTCGTAAGTTAGGAAAGGTTTTGTTAGGTTTGTTGAGTTAGGAAGAGACGGTCTCTAGTTTCAAACACGTTAGGCTGGTTTTATGCACCGCGACAGCCGCGAGTCGCGAGTCGCGCCAAGTCTTGCGGCTGACAAAAATGTCACGCGACAGCGACACTTTTTGGTCGCGTAAACTCACATCCGGTGGTGGGGGAATTAAAGAAATCAGTCTGTTCTCAATCCAATGCTGTGTGTTGTGTTTTGATGTAGAAGTGATTATTAAGTTGTTTAAATATAGACCCTGTAGTGTTGTACACGTTAATGACAAACCCCCAGTTATTTAAACAACACACACAATTTACAGTTGGAATTGGGTCAACCCTCTTAAAAAATTCATTACATAATATAATGATGTAATTTATATTATAAATAAAGAGTAAAGAACTCATTTATATACTAATTATTAACATTAATCAATATAAATATATGGAGAATATACCACGCGGAGTATGAAAAATACCACTGTCGCACCGCGACTGTCGCGGTGCATAAACGTGCCCATTTGATCCAATAGAACTCTAACCGCGCGCGACACATTTTTTGAAGCTGCGATTCTAAAACCTGTCGCGGGTATTTAGAGTCGCTCCGCGGCAGTTTGTCGCTGTCGCGGTGCATAAATGCTCCCATTTAACTCAATAGAACTTGAGTCGCGCCGCGACTCGCGACACGCGACTGTCGCGGTGCATAAAACCGGCCTTAACCACTGCTTACGGTTCACGTTTGGTGGGAAGTCGCACAGGCTAATTTAGCTTTGTCCCCTAACGAAATGTTGGTAAAACGATTGGTCAAATACGTGAGTACTACTGTATATACAAAGAGTGTTTCTAATATACATCAACTTCATAGTGTAAATCCTAACGCTATTCTTCTTGAGAAGTCCCTTTCGTGTATAAATAAATCTTCGAACTTAAATATGTTTAGTTTTGTTCGGGTATTGGTTACAATTAATTAATTACTATTTTCTGCCATGTTTCAGGAGATGTTGGTGTTCTACAACGATGACGACAGCTACCAGACGGTGCTGGCAGAACAGAACCTCTGCTGCAGCGATCTGTGCGCGCTGCTGGCTGTGAAGAACAGAGTGGCTAAAGACGTCAACTGGACCATAGTGGAACACTGGGTCGACGCTGGACTCGGTGAGTTCAAGTTTTATCATTATTTGTAGAGTTTCCCGAAATAAAAATGGAAATGCTGTGTTTCTAAAGGTATTTTGTGTGCAGTATGAATATGCATTTGCGCGGTTCAACATCAACGGTTGTAATGTCGTTTGATCTGACAGAAATAATCATTAGCACACTAATTTCACAAACGCTCCCCTTCATCTATAGCCCAATCATAAAACATCTTGTTTGAAAATGTTCTATTCTATAGTTGCATGATCTTATATCACTTTACGCCGTAACTGCACTGTGGTGATCTATTGGTCCTTCATTAGTATATTCATGACAGTTGATTCACAATTGACCTGACAACATCGTTTGTACAATCGCCATTAAAACAACAACAAATTGTTTATCAATGACAGGACAGGCACCCATATTACCACAGTGAAAATCTGACATCCATGTAAAATGTAAATTGTCATCTTACTCTTTAACGTCACCTCAAAATGTACTGTTGTTTGTAGAGACTTTCTTGTGTGCACATCGTAAGCTACGTATTGGGTGAGGTGAATAAAAGGTAGTATTTGGTAGTACGTACTTCTTTTCGAAGTATTTACTCGGTTTTCGGTGAATAAACATGCTAGTTGGTACTAGCCTCTAGTACAAACTACGACTTACAGGTGAATAAAATGCTAGTTCGTACTACCCCTAGTACATACTACATCACATAGGGAAAGTAGTATCTACTAGGCTTTTTCGGTGAATAAAAACCAGTCGGCGTAGTAGTTACTTCATTTTTATGTAGTACGATCAAGGGCATGCTTCAGTTTGGTCGTTTGCGAATATGGCGATGTTTTTACAAGTCCGTAACAGGAAAACATAACTTGAACGAAGAAATATTGGTAACTGTAAGCAATTACTGCGATTTGAGAATGATAGTGTTGATTTTCTTACCAACGAGTTTTTGCCTGGCAATGGTGAAGTTGAGAGAAGAGGAGGGGCACTGTCATCTCGACAGAAAATTGAAGTTTTATTTTGTTATTTTGGTGATCCGGGTAAGTTGAGCTATTTTTAGTACAAATTAAAATACCTTCTTATCGGTCGTAAATAAGATTTAATTACATAATAACAAAGTGTTAAAATAAACGATATTTTTTTAATTGGATTGAACATTAATTGCATATTAGGAATTATGTAAAATTGCAAATTAATTGTTTATTTTTTTATCTTGATAGGATTGTTGCGTTTTGTTATTTTCTCTTTTTAGCGAATTTCCCTATAAGGAAGTAGCTATTACTGTAGGTGGCATGGTAAGACCTAGGCCCGGGACCGATTTACTTTTTCATTTTGATGTCCCCAGAGGCCAAAACACCACCATTCGCTCAAATTTGTAGCAATGCTACTTACTAGTCACTCAACACGTCTGATACAACTGCAGGCGCTGTCAGGAATGACCAACGGAATAACGACAAACAGCTGATTATCGCCGCGCGCCTGTTTTGACTTGTTTATTAGTGAATCACTCTAGTAGGTACTAGGGGGTAGTACGTACTAGGCAGGTAGTACTTACTACATCACATAGGGAACCCCTAGTAATTACTACCTAGTTCTAGCTAATTCTTATTCACTTCGATTTGAGCAAGTGCTAGAACTATGTAGTACGAACTATGTAGTATGTACTACATTTTATTCACCTCACCCATTATCACTGTCACTTACATTAGGTGCGTACAATCGTTGATAATATGCCATTAATCGAGGATTGCTGCAATGTCATAGACACATCAATATCAATGATAGTCATTTACACATCAGTCATTTACAGCTGCGTTGACCTGACTACGTCATTGTAATGAGGTATATCTATCATTATTTTGCATTAACGTCGTCATCACTAACCGTTGGTTGTAGTGACAATGACATGGGCACGTCGTCACTCAATATTAATGATAGTCATTTACACATGACCACAGCTGCGTCTGACTACGTCATTGTAATGACGTATATATATCATTATTTTGCATAACGTTGTCATCACTAACCGTTGGTTGTAGTGACAATGACATGGGCCCATCGTCACTCAATATCAATGATAGTCATTTGCACATGACCACAGCTGCGTCTGACTACGTCATTGTAATGACGTATATATATCATTATTTTGCATTAACGTCGTCATCACTAACCGTTGGTTGTAGTGACAATGACATGGGCACATCGTCACTCAAAATCAATGATAGTCATTTGCACATGACCACAGCTGCGTCTGACTACGTCATTGTAATGACGTATATCTATCATTATTTTGCATTAACGTCGTCATCACTAACCGTTGGTTGTAGTGACAATGACATGGACACATCGTCACTCAATATCAATGATAGACATTTACACATGACCACAGCTGCGTCTGACTACGTCATTGTAATGACGTATATCTATCATTATTTTGCATTAACGACATCATCACTATTGACATGGACACATCGTCACTCAATATCAATGATAGTCATTTACATATGACCACAGCTGCGTCTGACTACGTCATTGTAATGACGTATATCTATCATTATTTTGCATTAACGACATCATCACTATTGACATGGACACATCGTCACTCAATATCAATGATAGTTATTTACATATGACCACAGCAGCGTCTGACTACGTCATTGTAATGACGTATATCTATCATTATTTTGCATTAACGTCGTCATCACTAACCGTTGGTTGTAGTGACAATGACATGGACACATCGTCACTCAATATCAATGATAGACATTTACACATGACCACAGCTGCGTCTGACTACGTCATTGTAATGACGTATATCTATCATTATTTTGCATTAACGACATCATCACTATTGACATGGACACATCGTCACTCAATATCAATGATAGTCATTTACATATGACCACAGCTGCGTCTGACTACGTCATTGTAATGACGTATATCTATCATTATTTTGCATTAACGACATCATCACTATTGACATGGACACATCGTCACTCAATATCAATGATAGTTATTTACATATGACCACAGCAGCGTCTGACTACGTCATTGTAATGACGTATATCTATCATTATTTTGCATTAACGTCGTCATCACTAACCGTTGGTTGTAGTGACAATGACATGGACACATCGTCACTCAATATCAATGATAGACATTTACACATGACCACAGCTGCGTCTGACTACGTCATTGTAATGACGTATATCTATCATTATTTTGCATTAACGACATCATCACTATTGACATGGACACATCGTCACTCGATATCAACGTTGATTGCAGCTATAACCTGACGCACGTTGTAAAGCCAAGAGTTGTTTATGTTGCGCGATCACCAACTCATCAAAGCCAAGCTTTTACGCATTTTTCCAAATTTACGTGGTCCAATCGGGATTTTCTGGCCAATGTATTGTTGGTTTATTGTTGTTCCAAACATCCATCAGTTATCCCACTCTGATTGGCGGATCAATGCACAATGCGTTGCGCTCAATGCCATTGATTAATGGAGATTGTCATTGTTTTGTGTCAAATTGTATATGGTTTCGTTTACCGTTGACGGTGTAAAGCTGTTTGACGAATTGTGACAAAATGTTAAACGTATAACTTCATAGCTTTTACTTTTTCTGCTTTTTTGCTAGTTCTACAAAGGTGTACGTAAAAATAGGGAAAACAATTAGCGGAAAAGTGTGAAATTTTTTTTAATTGTCAGTTTTAGTCATTAGACCGGAAAAATAATCGTACACACGTGGTAAAATTAGTAGCCAAAATATATATAAAAAGAATTTTTTACCCATTTCAATTGCTACTGAATTGAATATTTAGATTTTTTTTAAACGGTAGTGTCGTCTTTAAAAACTTATCTTGCATAATTAATGCCCAGAGTTTTCAGGTTCATGTTAATATATCTGTTTGGAGTTACTGATTTTGGCTTGAGTTGCTACATTTATGTAAGAAAAATGTAGGTGATTCCATTAGAGTTGTTTTATAACTTTGAACAATTCATTAGTGGTGTTAACGTAATTATGTGTTGGTCCATTACCCATTCCCATTGCTATGCTGACGCCAACCCTCTCCAGGGTAACTAGGCTGTGTAGGAGGCGCTGCAGCAATGGCAATTACATTTGTATGCGAGGGAATTACATGGCAAATCCACACAGAGAGTTCGTGTGGATGTGATATGAGTGTGATAGTAGTGATACACTTTCATACAGGGTGAGTTTTAATTGTCCCCCCCAAATTTTTTCTACATTTTTTCAAATATCAATCCCAGACCACTTCCAAACATTGTTGGGTAGTTCTTTTCGTCTATGGTACAGTACTTCATTTTGACAAGGTGGTCATTTCCGACCGCCATCTTGGATCCGATGAGTCTTGGATTGGTAGTGTATACTTATCTTTATCTAGCACTATTTTGAGATTATGATCTTATTTTTTAAATGTACAATTTTAAAATGGGCTAAAAATAAAGTTTTAAAAATACCTCATAACTTTGTAATGGATCAAGTTGTTTAAAAACGGTTTGTGGCATTGTAATCAGGATAAAAATTTAGTTTGAAATAATGGGTCACAACCCCACCTTTACATTTGAAAAAAATATTTTGCATCCAATATGGCGGATCCAAGATGGCGGCCGGAAATGACCACCTTGTCAAAATGAAGTACTTACCACCCGACAATGTTTGGAAGTGGTCTGGGATTGATATTTGAAAAAAATGTAGGAACAAGTTGGGGGGGGGACAATTAAAACTCACCCTGTATGTAACTTTAGCATACGGTTGTTATTTAATCCACCCATATTTGTAGAGTTTCTACATTTGACGACTTGTAAGCTATCGTTTGATTATAAAAAAATCTCGAATACTGTTTTTTTTTTCACGTAGGTCATAAATTCAGAATACCCCTGCCACAGCAGACCTGCAAACTAAGCGAATTTCCGATTGCCTGATTGAATTTTTTCTTGAATATTGGCTGAAATATGCCTGATTTATTTAATATTTTAATAAACACATTCG